CAGAGGATGGAAATGTAATGTTATCCATAACTTCCATCAATTAGGACAAAAGACAGCAAAACAAAGCTACACACTGGGATGGATGAGGTACTGATCTAAGGGTACTGTGCCTTTACTCAAAGTAATCTTGATTTCAGCTTCTTAAAAGTATTTTACCATGGCTCAGGAAGTCCTTAAGCCATGGATTGATGGAGATTAAGAGAAAATACCAGGAAACTATGAGCAAAGACTTACTTTGATATTGACATTTTTCCTAAATAGGGTATCTGAGCTGGTATGGCTCTTACATTTTCAAGTTAATGGCCAAATCCAAAAAGTTGCTAAAAGAACGAATTAAAGCAGAATATAAATATCTGAATCCAGCATTGAAATCAAAAGGCTCTCTCAGCTCCAGTCCAATCCTAGAAGCACCTAACTCTGGAGGTACCTACCTTCAGGCTCCAAGAACTTCAAATGTACAACAGTCACCTTGCATCTGTGCCTGGAACCTTCTCCTCCTCAGTGGGTCTGAATCCTGCTGTATCCTGCCAGGGTTACAGATGGATCAGCTCTTGTTGGACTTGGAAGAAACCACATGCTTGAGTTCATGAGCTCAGTTTGTGCTAAGGATGTGCAGCTGAGAAGGTGAAAAAAGAAAAGTAAACCTGAGAGAAAAGAGAGCAAGTGCAGAGGAGTCTTTAGTTCAGCAGTTGGGATTGGTCTTTCAGGAACAGGAGTTGTGTCCTCCTGGCTGGAATTCACAATCAGCTTTTGGAGGAAGACTGAAACTCCAGATCAGGTAGGTGCTCTCACCTCTAAACTAAAAATTATACTCACCTTTGATCTTCCTCTTATAGCCCAATGAATCTTTAATTCTTTTTATGCAAAGAAGAACAGGTTCAGCATAAGGGCATACAGAGCTCTCCTCTGCTCTTCCCATCTTCCCTGGATATCTTGCACCCTGGAAGATTTTTGTAGCTCTCCAGGGAACACAGGTTGGTATTTCTCAGGCAGCAATTCCAGCTGAACCCAGATCTCCTCCTTGTCACCCTGCTGACAACCTCCCTGAGAAATACAGATGGCCAGCTGCAGCCTGCAGGAGTGTCCTGTGTTTGCCTCCAGAGGGACAGACTGCCCATGTCCTGAAAGGTGCCTCAGCCCCAGTGACAGGCATGCTTTGAAAGCTCATCCCTGAGCCCCTTCAGTCATCAGGTTGTTTTCTTTCTGTCTCTTGGGAGAGGGCATTTTACAGCAGAACATCTCCTAAAGAACAAGCTGGAGAAAAACCAACTCAGAACACCCAGCATCTGGAAGTCTGAGACTACTCTCCTGGAAAACTGGAAAGAGTTTTAAAAACATGTTCCAAATCTGGTAAATGGTGAAACGCTGGAAGAAACATCCAACCTCCCAGGCTGGTGTCCTCAGCACTGCCTTGTATGTATGTAAGTGCATGCAGTTGTTGTGAGATGCCCAATCCAGCAGACACTCTAGAACGACTGTGGAAAGGGATCTGATGGAGCACAATATCTCCTGAAGCAACCTGAGGTGGGTGGGTGACTGTCCCTTGAAGCAGAAGTTAAGGAATGGAAATTCTTCTGCTCCTGGAATTTTGGAGCTTCAATGCAAACTGTCTGGGTTCTTTGCCTCTCCAAATTTGGGAACTGTGTCTGAACTGCCAAGTGCTTCCCTGATCAGTCACGTTCCCGTGCCCTTACAAGATCTGAAAAAGAAGTTTCAAGTTAGATCCATCCAAGCTTTTGGGGGCTTAACAATTGCTTTGGCCAACAGCAGCAATCACCAGAGCTCCTGCTCAGCCAGTGTCATGCCGAGGTCTGACAGCCTTTGTGTTTCACCAGGGATGCCTGTGGGTGCCTTATCCCTCTCTGGGCACACCCAGAGGCGCCTGAGTGTTGCCAGCCCTCAGCAGCCAGCACTGGAGCAGCAGCCTGACTCACTTTTTGAAAGAGGTGAAGTGCCTGACTCTAAAGAGGGGCTTTGGTACTTGTCACCCCAATTAAAAAAAGGTACCTCCCTGCAGGGCTGGCAGTAGCTCAGACACTGATTTGGCAATTCCCTGCTCCTTGTACTGCTGTGGGGCATCCCATTGCACATGGAAAGCAGGCTCCCAGCAGCGTAGTAGCAGCCTGTACCAAAATTGTAACCTAAGTCTTCCCAGGTACCTTTTGGTGCCTATATTCCAAATTACCAGCGTAGGTTCAGCAAATGGTACCAGCTGTCTCAAGGATCACAAGTGCTGTGCCTTGGGGCACGAGATGCATTGCATCAGTCAGGCAATAACTCCAGGTCTCCAGGAATATAGATCCTGCTGGAATTATACATTAAAGTCACACTGTGTTTACCTTAAAGCAATCTGATGAGGGATTAACTAGGTGATCAGTCCATCTCACCACATCACAGAGGAGTAATTAAATTTTTCCCCAAAAAAATTGCTAGAATTTGACTCCTAATCTAACTGCTGATATCTCTGTAATATTTTCTTCCTACTTGTTCAAATGCTCAACCCTCCTTATTAAGATCAGTGCCAATTTTGTCCTGCAGGAAGTTAGAATATATTTCTTCTTCTTCATCTGTCCTTGTTGATCTATGGGAATAACAGACCCCGTCACATAAAATTATTCTGGCTTTGCAGAAGGGGCTGGTGAACTATTTGGAATATAGTTCCCAGTACCGGTCACCTCATTAGAGAAGTGAGTTGCTACAAATTGGGACGTTGCAACAGAGTCCAAACGATGCAAGAACTTAATTATTCAGAAAAGGTTTAGAAAAGCTACGGTGTGGCTGCTGCCTTTGGAAAACAGGAGATTAAAAAGCCACTTTAGGGGGGGTTTGCAGAGCTCTGGGGGAATAGCAAGGATTCACATACACAGGAAGAACAGAGCGAGTGACAAATACCAGAACAGAAGGGAAATTAACAGAAGCTTAAGTAGGGATGAGCAGCAAAGCAGTGTAATTTATTTGTGAATTTGTTTGTATTTAGCACAGTTAATATATGGAAAATTATACTAAAGCTGGAACAGAAACAACTATTAGAAATCATTTTACAAGGCTTTAGACACGTGTGGGAGCTTAAAATAACTCTGTGGGGTGCAACTCATAATTCAGAGGAGAGGAAAAGGACTTACGTCTTCCTCACAATCTCGTCTCTTAAAACATTTACCTCCATTGTGCTAAGAAATAGACATAGCTACTTTAATCTGACTATCCATACAATTCTCAGGGAAAGGTTTTCATTTACAAAATTAATTTCCCTTCCAGCTTCAAGTATTTAAGTGTGGGTGAAAATAATCAGAGACACTCGAAAGGACAGGGCTGAACCCTGATCTCAGCAACAGGAGAGCAAAGCCCGAATAACTCCAAGAAAAATTCTCGAAGCACACAGAGATGTAACTGAGATGAGATCTGGTCCCGAAGTGCTGCACTCCAGACAGAAAAACCTTGATGTCCCCTCCTTGAATTTCAAGGAAAAAACTATCAAAAGAGTCCCAAGTCCTTTCTGGGCATTTCCACAGATCTTGGAAGAAGCCTGTGTGTCCCTATTTGCATTTGATGCCTCCAGGCCATCAGCTTCAGCAGGCGCTGGATCAGACTGGGCGGCTCGCTCCTTCGACCTGCAGCTGTGCCTGCTGTAAGACCAAACAGACTGCCTTCAGCTCTGGCGAGCCCGCTGGGAATTCACCCTTCCAACGCAGCGGCGAGCGGGCGACACCGGGATGTTGCCCGGAGGCAATGTGTGTAATTGCGGCATCTCTCTTTTCTTTCCTCCCAGGTCGGGTGCTTAGCCCGCCGCTCGGAGACACGTGGGTGAGATCCCAACTTTCCCTCCAGGGGAGATCTCCGCAGGCAGTTTACGATGCCAGAGCTCCCGCTGTGCTACCACCGTTTACTCGGAAAATCACAGGCAATTAATCACACTTTTCTCGGGGGAAAACCCACTTGATTTGGACCCGTCATTGCGCAGGGAAGCTACAGAACACCGTGCTGTAACCTAACCTGAACTCTGCTAAAGGCGTTTCTTCCTAGGGCTCCCTTTTCACCTGGCAAACCCTGCCTGCCTTTGGAAAACCGGGACGGGTGTAACGGACCGTGGTTACACTTGGATGTGGTGAGGAGCACGATGCACCCGCGATGCTGTCCCGCTCGCCTTTGGGCCGCCGAGGCAGGACGCGGGGAGCCTGAGGAAGCCGCGGGGAACGCTCTGAGGTGACCTGCTGCTGGCCAGGGATTTCCCCGGCCCCTCCCGCAGAAAGCTGTGCGTGTCGGCGGCGGCAGGGAGCTCACCCCGGCGGGACCGGGGCTCCGGCCGCCGTCCGGGCATCGCGCAGGGGCCGTCCCGCTGCGGGCAGAGGGATGGAGGGACGAAGGGATGGAGAGATGCAGGGAGGAAGCACTTCAGGCGGCAGGTGAACGGGACAACGCGATGCGTCCCCGACCGTCCCGGTTTCAGCGGGGCGCAGTTTGGGCGGCACCCGCAGTAACTCCGCCGGTGACGGCGGGGCGGGCGCGCTCTCCCCCCGCAACCGGAGTGCCCGGGGACGTGCGGGACGCCCCGCCGCCTCTCCCCTCCCCTCCGCCCGNGCAGGTGGGTCCGCCCTGCCCGCGCCCCCCACGTCGGGGCGGCGACGGGGGCGGGCGAGCCCGTCCCCTCACGCGGGACCGAGGGGTAGAGCCGGGCGCCCGCTCGCCGAGGCGACGCCCCCCGCGCCCGCCCAGCCCCGCCGGGCGCACGGGGCGCCGCGTCCCTCGGAGCGGAGCGGAGCGGAGCGGGGCGGCTCTCGGCATGGCGGGGCTCCCGGCCGGCCGGCGGGCGGGCTGAGGCGGGGGCCGGGCGGGGAGGCGCCGGCGGCGGGGTCTCACCGCCTCTTCTTGCCGTCCCCCGCAGGGAGCGGCCGGCCCCCCGCGCCACCATTGCCTCGCACGGCAAAGAGGACCTGCTCGCCGCCGCCGCCCGGCTCTGGCAGCGGAGGAGGCGGCTGCTGGCCGCCGCCGGGCTCGCCCTGGCCATGGCCGTCGCGCTGCTGGTCGCCGTGCCCCTGCTGCTGCTGCAAGCGCCCGCCGACACCGGCGCCCACTACGAGATGATGGGCACCTGCCGCATGATCTGCGACCCGTACAGCGGCGGGCGGCCGCCCGGCCCCGGCAGCACCGCCGCCGTGGAGGCCCTGCAGGACCTGGGCGCCAACCCCCCGCCGCCCTTCGTCCAGGGACCCAAGGGGGAGCCGGGCCGGCCGGGCAAGCCGGGCCAGGTCATCACCGAGCAGGCGGGCTTCGCGACGCAGGATCTCCTCGGACTCGCGGAGGTTGCTGCGCCGCAGGAACTGCAGTACGGCCACAAGCGTCTGCCGGTCCAACGCCGCCGGCGAGGCGGCCGGGCCCGGCGCCGCGGGCTTCGGGGGTGCCGCATCCCCACCGGCTCCCGCCGCCTCTCCCTCCGCCACGGCGGCCGGGGCGGCGGCGGGAGCGGCGGCGGGGCGGCGGCGGGCGGCGAGGCGGCGGGCGGGCTGAGCGCCGCCTTCAGCGGGCCGCGCATCGCCTTCTACGTGGGGCTGAAGAGCCCCCACGAGGGCTATGAGGTGCTCAAGTTCGACGACGTGGTGACCAACCTGGGCAACCACTACGACCCGGCCAGCGGCAAGTTCACCTGCCAGGTGCGCGGCATCTACTTCTTCACCTACCACATCCTCATGCGCGGCGGCGACGGCACCAGCATGTGGGCCGACCTCTGCAAGAACGGCCAGGTGGGTTCCGCCGCTCCCCCGCGCGTCCTCCCCGCCCGGGGTCGCCCGGTCGTCCCCCTCCCAGCGTCCCCGTCCCGCGGGCGCGGCACCGGCCGCCGCCGCTCCCGGGAAAAGAGCCAGCGGGAGCATCCTTCGCGCCGTCGGGGCGGGGGGTGCACCTCTAGAGCCGCGACGAATTCCGAACTCCCGGCTTGCAAACTTTTCTGCCGGGCTGGGGAGAAGGAGAAGCGAGGACAGAGGCGGGAGGGAGGACACAGGGTAGTGCAGGGTTTGGGAAAGTGGGACTCGGGGCATTGATGGAGGGGCTGAGAAAGAGGGGCTGGGGGACTGTTGGGGGGGCTGCGGAAGAGTGACTCGGAGGGCTAACAGAGGTGCTGGGCAAGAGGGACAGGGGGGCTGATGTGCCCAGCGGCTGTGTTGGCAGGTGCGGGCCAGTGCCATTGCCCAAGACGCAGACCAGAACTACGACTATGCCAGCAACAGCGTGGTGCTGCACCTGGACTCCGGCGACGAAGTGTACGTCAAGCTGGATGGAGGCAAAGCACACGGAGGCAACAACAATAAGTACAGCACTTTCTCTGGCTTTCTTTTATACCCTGATTAACACACAAGTGACACGACACAACTGGCCTCGCCACTGATGCACATGGGGCTGTTTGGCAATTCCATTACCCCATCGTGCTGCTGTTCCTGCTGGTGTCCACTGTCTCCGCAGGTCACTTTAGCTTCATTATCAGTTTGTATGTTTTTATTTTCACCCTTGTGGAAACGAAATAGAAATGAAACAAAGTGAACCCCTTCCTTACTCTCCCCCGTTTCTTCTGACCCCCACTCTCCCTTTGTCTGCCTGAGTGTTTCGTGTGTCACATGAGGAACTTGGCAGCTTGAAACTCTGAATGGTTCCAGGAGGGTTTAAAAGAGCCCAGAGTTTGGACTGTGTCACACACGGAATTTGAACAGGTCACATTTTTTCATCAATAAGTATTAATGACGATGATGAATTTTCAGATCGACTATTCACGAAGCGGGACTGGATCATAACTGTTTTTTCCTCTGCTGCTTTGTATGGGGTCAAGTGTAAACTTTTCTTTCTGTGCAATGCAATGCTTGTGTGAATGATGGTGTCATTAACGTCAAACCTGTTTCTGTCTGCAAAAGAATTTGGTCATTGACTACAGCCACCCAAATACCACATTAAATTATGTTTTTAGACAATGCCTTCTTGCTTTCTGTCTCTTCCAGTGCTACAAAGCAGCACTGTGGTGGTGCCACAGGAGGGTGGGGAGTAAAGGAGGGGGTCCCTTAGGTCTAGAGTCATATTTAAAGTTAGGATGGGATCCTTGCCTAGGTCTTGACTGTGGTTCAAGGGGGCTGGGAAGAAGTAGAGAGAAGGAAAAAAGCTTCACTGTTATGCAGTTTTGTGAAAAAAGGCACAGAGTTATCAAGAGGTGAAAGTAGGGGTGTGGAGCGAATCTCCTAAACAGATTTACTGGGTTAAAACCTGATCCAGAGGTTAGTGAAGTACAGAAAAAGCAGTTTAATCAGTGATTATGGAATGCTATGTTTCTGTAACATGCTTGACAAATGTTAAGAAGGCTGCAGGGGAGTTTGTCTAAACCCTTGCACTTGCAGTGTGCGTATGGGTTGGAAACCACACCTGACTGAAGATGGGTCTGCACAGTGCCTGAGAAGGGCTGGGTGAGAAAACTTGCTCAAGACTGATGGATTCAGACCACTTAGAAGGGTTTTCTCCTGATGGTCCTCTGTCAATCCCAGTCACCCTCGGTCTTTTTTCAAAATGCACCGGTGTAGTGCACTGGTATGCATCAGTAGTGCATGTGGTTCTGAGCCTTTGGTGGAGGAGGTGCATTTGTCATCATCACCCCAGTAGGTAACCTCCTCAGTTTGGGTAAATTGGGATTGCTCTGCTGAAGCTAAAAGAGCTAAATTGATTTACAAAAGCACTTACTTTCATTTTGCTGTCTTGTCATTTCATTTTTCCCTCCTGAAAGTCTTGCCTCCCTATCAGCTCTCTGCCCTTCCCAGTGTTAGTGCAGTTTCGCAGACAATAGAGACAGGAGTTGGTCTGGAACAGCTCTGCCTGTTTCAGACCAGCTCAGGATCTTTGCCCCTGCCCTGATGTTGCAGGAGGAGCCACAGTCAGACTTGTGGGACTCTGGGACTCAGTGGGACTTGTTCCAGCCCCACTTTGGGGCAGCCCCATGATGACCAAGTTGTTAGAGTCACTCCTGTCTCCTACCTAGTCCTCAGTGGGTATTGTCTTCTCCTTGGCTGGAAGGGGAGGGTCAAAGGGAGAAAGCAATTCTTCCATCCTGTCCTCAAACCTCCCCTGCTGAGGGAAGCAGAGTTCATAACCAGGTACACGTGTTAGACACTTATCAATCTCTTATGTCTTGTCGATTTGTACTATTTAGAATATGATTAAATCCAGTGTCTGAGACCATCCAAATGAAGTATAATTGCTATGGATCCTCAATTCCCACCGGATCCGTAATCCTTTTTGACTATTCCTCCTCCCTCCTTCAATGAAATGGAGCTTAGACACAAAGCCCTTGGTTTAAATTTCAAAAAATTAAAATTGACATGCAGCAGCATTAGCAGGAGCCAGGAGGAATTCTAAGGAGGTGCCTGGGCTCTGCTTTATCCTTTGCATTAAGAAGCAATTTGTACTTCTAACAAAGACCCAACTGTTCCCCCTTGGCAAAAGGGCAATGAAGATGCCTTGCAAGGGAATTGCTGTTCACAATACTTAAACAAATTTGAATCTTAGATTTTTAAATCTGTATTCCCTGGTGGAGCCTGCTCCTCTCAATTCAAATGCAGGGCTGGTGGTGTGTGCCTGCCAAGGTGTCAGTAGCTAAGCGGATGATGGATTGATGAGGCAATGGGAAGACACAGGCTCACAGTGGCAGTTTGCCCCGACAGTGATCTATGTATCTGCACATTATCAATGTCATGAGGAGGCTTGAACCACCCTCGCTAGATGTCTCATTTTCCACTTATCTCTTATGTACTAATTATCAGGCTGGATTATTCCCCAGGACAGAAACAAAAAAAAATTGCTCATCGCCTCTCCACTGACAGTTTACACAATCGATAGAATGAACATCTCCCTCAGCTGCTCACAGGCTTTTTTGTTTCCTCTCCTCATTGCAGGGTCTTCCCAGATTGCCTCTGTGGGGGGTTGATAGCTCTCACCCAGCATCTGCTTGGACAGGCTCCTCTCTCCCAGTCATCTTGGTGGTCGCTCACTGTGTGGGTTGTGTGGTTTTTGTTTTTTTTTTTCTGAAGTAACACAGGGAAAAGCAATTGGGAGATGAAGAACTTCAGTGCTCAGTGGTGCAGTTATCCAGAAAAGCAGAGGCAGTGCTGCCTGTGGGGACGGTGGTCCCTGTGCTGCCAGTGGCTGTGGGTGACAGCAGGGTCACACACAGTCCAGCAAACAGCCTGAGGTGCCTTGTAACCCTCTGGGCTTCAGCTGGAGCTTCAAGTGAGTCCTCCTGCCCTTGGGAATGGTCTGCGGGTCCTGCACGTTTCATGTCACAAAGAGAAGGGCTTGTTTGTGAGGGGGGTACCCTGGTCCCCTGGTTTGGATGGGAAGAGGAGGATTAAAGTGTACTCAAGGGGCTGGCTTCAGCTTTCTCTGGGACTGGCTTTCCCAAATGATACTGCATCTCAAACATTAGCCAGCATCTGCTCTGGAGGTCTGACCCCTCAGGGGTGTTATTTACTTGATGAGTTAAGCAAATGTGCTTTTAAGAATTGGGATCAGGTGTGACGTGAATAGGGAAAGCCCCCAGAAAGGAGTGGAACATTGGAGTTTTAGACAAAAGGTGCTCTCTGTTTCTGAGCCCAGCCATGTGCTTAAATTAAAATCATAATACAAAACCTAAAAAAAAAGGCAGGTGTTCATGCTGTCAAAGTAACTTAGATACTGCACCAGCAGATCTTTATGCTACCAGTGTGAAACTTTGACGGTTTCCCTGTGCCTGATCGGTCTATGGAAGAGATCCCTTGGGGAGAGGTGAGCAGGGAGATGTTGAAGCACACAAACATCATGGAAGGAGAAATGGGGATGCTGCTGAGAGCCCTGAGGGGTTGTTGGCCAAGTTGCCAGCCACCCCATGTCTGTGGTTGTTCCCTGGAGGAAGCTGTTCAGCTTACTCTGCTCTACTGCAAGCGAGTGGATTTGTGGCTGGCCACTTGTTTTCTTCTGTCTTGACCTTCACTGGTTTGGGAAACTCCTGGCAAGTCTCGAGGGAGGTGGGTGAGGAAATCCTGCTTTGTCTAGGGTGAAGAGGGTGAGCTGCTGGTGCTGAGTTTTCTCCAGCCAGGGTACAGAGCTGAGGAATCCATGCTGTGAGAGCAGCTGGTGTCGGGTGTCCTGTGCCAAGTCTGCTGCCTGTGTGTTTTCCAGGATCTCAGCTTGCAGATTTCCTCCTTGACACTCATTCCCTTGTGGAGCCGGGCCTGGGTCAGTGAGCTCCCTGTCCTGCAGCAGCAACAACAGTCCCGTGTTGGGTTCTCCTCTTTCCCTTTTGCTGTAAGAAAAGCAAAGTGTTGCTTTTTGTACCTCCTGTCTTTACACACATTCATTGAGCCACGCATTGGTCTTTTTCTTGCTGCTTTTGAAACTCACTCTGGGCATTTTTCTTGGTGATATAAAGCTTGTTATATCTCTTTGCTTGCTTCCTTCAGTGGCTCACAGTGCCTGGACAGGTTTAATTTGTGAACTCAAAAAGTATGGATGATGGGTTTTGGTAGATACTTGTGTTCTGTTTCTGTTTATGCAACAGACTAATTATATTAAGGGGTCTGTGACAATAGAGGCAAAAAGGCATATAAATCTATTTCAAATCTGTGTTAAAAGCTTTTTTTTTTTTTTTTTTTTGTAACATGCTATTTTTTTTTTTCTTTTTGTGATTGGCCTGAACTCGTAACATGCTATTTTTTTTTTTCTTTTTGTGATTGGCCTGAACTCTGAGAAAAAATCCTGGTAAAATCGTGTGTCTTAGTATTGTCTCTGGGATAAAGAAGCTTGCCAGAATAAAATAAAGACTAACTGAATCTTCACTGACTTTGAGACTGCAAGAGGTTTGGTCCTTTTTACTGTGAAAGCCTACATGATGCAGAGAGCTGGAAGATTAATTACAGACAAGAGAGGTAAATTGTTACCGTGTGCACACCCTGTCAGTTTTGGGTGAGAGCCTGCACTCAGCTGGTTTCACATTTAATGGCAGAAAGAGGTTCAGCTTGTTTATAACTGCAGGTAACGTGAAAATGGGGACCCATTTCTCTAGACCAAACCCCTGCCAGTTCAGAAGTGAATCCCTTGGTCACAGAGCAGGTGCCACAGCAGCAGTGCAGGAGATGTTTCACTATTTCTTGAGCCCACTTGCTCTTGAATGAGCTTCATTTTTGAAGGTTGTGGGGGCATTGCAGCAGGGGCATTAAACACTAAAGGGGCTGAGCTCCTGGTTCCTCTCTGTTTAGGACAAGTTTGTTAATTGCCCCAATGGTAAGTTACAAAGAGGCCAGTGAAGGGCAAGGCTTCTTCCCTGGATCAGCCAGGGGAGCAGGGGC